TCTAGCGTCACTATGGGTCATACTTGACAGCACTGTTGTTAAACACCAATGAGTTGTAGTTGACTTGATGGCACCTAAAACAATAACAACAATAATATGCATACAGGGATCTCTGGTGGCCTAATGGCAAGAAGCTGCGCTGCAATTCCTGAGGCATGAGGTTCAAATCCACCAGATGCTCTTCTGGAGAAGGAGGGGCAATCATCTCCTGTGCCAGTCAGATCCAACTCGACAGTACACAAGAAACACCACCATCACCACCACACTATACATATGAAGCATCTCACTAAGGGCACATAAGCCAACAACAGCAGTTGTCTGAGGCGAAGGGAAACGAAAGGCTAGGAAACACATTGACTTAATAAAAAAAAAACCAAACCAACAAGAAAAAAACAACAAAAAACCCCAACAAACAACTTCAGAGTGTATTTTGGATTTTAACTCTTAGCAAAAGACCAACTAAAACGAAATAAACTGCTGTCATTTCAATTATGAGTTATAGGTGAAATGATTACATAAAAACGTAGGTAGGTACCGAAAACACAGGCACTTGTCTGTGCATAGCTGGTGGATGAACCACATAAGCTGAGGCCTGCAGAGCCCAGCTCCAGCTCTGTTATTCTGGCCAGGTCATCTGCTCTACTTCTGTTTACTCAGCCAGTGAACATTTATTGAGTGCCTGCTGTGTGTCAGGTCCTATGCTAGGCACTGGGGCACAAAGAAGAAGTTCGCTGACTTGTGGGGAAAGCACGAGCAATCCATATTGTATTGCAGTGTGATAAATGTTGTGACAGATGATGACAGGTTCCTGCAGGACCTCGTGGGAGGTGATGCTAAATTAGGCCGGGCAAGGCTTGTTTATCAGTGGACCTGGTGCTCAGTGCTTGCAGAGAAGAGGCGATAGGACAATTACAGGCAGAGGAATCAGCATGTGCTGTCCAGGAGGGAGTTTGCTGTGGCTACAGAGAGGGCAGGCATGGGCAGGGTGAAATCAGACCCAGGGAAGACCTTACATATTGCAGGGTGGATATTTTTTTAAGTGCATTCATTATTTTTTTTATTTGTGAAATAAATACATATTTAATGCCAGGGTTGTAACCTGAAGGCCAGTAATATGACTAAATTTTATTTAGGAAGGGCACTTGTAGCAGTGATAAGTGGAGTGCGGAGGAGAGTAACAAGCACTTCAAAAGCACGAATTGCAGTGTTGGAACCAGAATATGAGAGACTGCTTTCCTAAGAAGTCAGTGCCTGTACATAATCCTACCTCTGATTTCTTCATGACTGACCAATACAGGCAGGGGTTACTTTCCCACCTGAGCCTCTGTTTCTTCAGCTGTAACTGGGGCTGCATGGAGTGATTTTAAGTTCTCATCTATCCTTAGAAAGCCTTCCACCAGTCCTGCCTTCCCCTTGTGTGCACAGCCCTCTATTCATGGTACCTCCATGCAGGGTATAAAGGGTGCCTGGCTGACTTTCTTAGAGAAATACTGGAATAATGGAGGATCACGGAATACAGGAGTCAGAGGTGGTGATAAAGAAGGGGGGAGGGCTGTAAAGTGAGCCATAAGAATGATAACATCTACAACCAGGAGAAGAGAAAATAAATGAATGGAGCCTTCTAAGAATCAAATCCCTATGCACATCCAAAAACTTTTCCTACAGGGTAAAAAGGAAGCCACAGACTGGGAAAAAGTATTTGGTAATGACATGTCAGATAAGGGACTTATATCTAGAATTTATAAAATTCTTGAGTACCACAACAAGATAAAGGTAAACAGTCCAGCTGAAAAATGGGGACAGGATATGAACAGGCACTTCAACACAGAAGATATTCAGATGGCCAACAAGCACATGAAGAAATGTTCAAAATCCCTAGCTCTAAGAGAGATGCAAATTAAAACAACTATGAGATATCATCTCACCCCGGTCAGAACAGCAAAATTTAACAGAACAGCAAGCAACAAATGCTGGCGAGGTTGTGGAGAAACTGGAACCCTTATTCACTGTTGGTGGAAGTGTAAAATGGTGCAACCACTGTGGAAGGCGGCATGGCGCTTTCTCAAAGAGTTGCAAATAGAGATACCATTTGACCCAGCAATTCCACTACTGGGAGTATACCCCAAAGAGACCATAACTGCCACCCAAGCAGATATATGCACACCCATGTTTATCACTGCTTTGTTCACAATAGCAAGGAGTTGGAAACAACCTAAGTGCCCATCAACAAACGAATGGAGAGAGAAGCTGTATTATATTCACACAATGGAATACTACACAGCATTGAAAAACAAGGAACTCAAGGAATATTATTTTAAATGGGTGACCCTGGAAGACATTATGCTGAATGACATATCTCAGTCACAAAAGGACAAATACTGCATAGTGCCGCTGTTGTAAAACAGGACTGACTTCGGGGTTGGGGGGAGACTGAGAAAGATGGGATAAATAATGTATACTGCATTGGAACAGGTGAGGGAGAAAATTGTTTAAAAGGGATATGTGATTAGGTATTATTGTCATGACAGGAGTCCAGAATGAAGGTTGCATAGTGGAGTGGAGCTGGGAGGGATTGTAAAACAATAGGGGAATTTGTCTTTTACTTTTCAAAGAGAAGAGTTTACTGGGGTGGGAGAGGGGGGACAGGGAGAAAAGTGCAACAATGAATGAATGGAAATCTAAAAAAAAGAATGCCAACATCTTCCACTCTGTAGTAAGTAATTGCTATTGAGTTGGAACCAACTCATAGCTGACCCTCCAGAAAGTTTTTATGAGGCTGTAAATTGCACGGGAAGAGATTTCTCATTTTTGTTCCATGGAGCAGCTGGTGGATTTGAACCTCTAGAGAGGAGTGGCCTTACAGTGAGAAGCGCAGCTCTCTATAGACTATCCCCAAACTGCTAAATGAAAAATGAGCACAAAAGCATTGTGGGTATTCAGTGCACACAAATTATTTTCAAACTCATCCCTTTGAATTCCGCAATTTTTCAATCTCCTTAAATATATTCTTATCTCATTATCCTAGCAATTACTGTCTTCCAATGTGCTTTATACTTTGCTTATTTCTGATGTTAGTGACTAGGTTTTCCATTAGACTAGAGCATAGCAGAGGTCTTCATTTTGCTCATAGATGTACCCCACATGTCCAGAAAGTGGCAGACACAGGAATTCCAAAGGAAATACATTGGCACTGGGTCAATTCTTACTCACAGCATACCTGTGGCGAAGAATAGAACTGCCCCACCAGTTCCCAAGGCTGTATGTTTTAAGGAAGTAGACTGTCATGTCTTTCTCCCAAGAAGTGGCTGGTGGGTTCAAACAGCTGACTTTTTGATCAGCAGCCAAGCATTTTAGCCAACACACTACCAGAATACTTTGGGGAGGATGTAGGTGCTCAAACACTGGCTAAATGAATGGATCCTGATGATGTTGACCATGATATGTTAGGAAGTTATCAGCCATAATTCTCCAAGCTGTTAGGGAAGGAAACTGTACTTAAAGCGGGAGGGAGGAGCATAGTTTCACTGAATAAGGAAGAATGCCATTTTGCTTCGAACATTGTTACGTACAATCAAGTAGACTATGGCTCACAGCAACCCTATGAACAAAAGATCTGACCTTTGCCCTCTCCTGGGCCAGCCTCATGATCTCTGTCACGCTCAAGCCCATTGTGGTAGTCACTGTCAGTCAATTTCTTTGAGTCCTTGTAGCAGTATGTTTTTTGGAATAGTTACCTCCTTCTGGTTTTGACAATTCTGTTTTCATTTGTTAAACATCCTTCTCCCTACTCATTCCTATGATTCCGAGATGGGTCAATCAGTGCATCTCAATGTCCAGGCCACAGTATTTATTTCATCCTGGGCATAGGAACCAAGGCAGGCCAATGACCTGGGCAAGAGGAACTGGCATCTATCTTGCCACCACTGGGATAGAGCTTATCTGAACAGAAGCAGAGGAGAGCAGAGTCCAGCTATGGAGAGAGGCAGATATTGGGCAAGTGGGTAACTCTTAGTCAAAGTACCATTTACCAGTACTGGTGCTGGGGTAGCATAGAGGTGTACCTGTGAACTCTGGATAGTAGAGCTTAGGTGGATGACCTTTATAACCTCATAACCTACAAAGGCCTTGTCATCTACGTGCTAGGTAATACCACCATCATGTACATTGTCTCTCCTACTTATTTCCTATCAATGGCTTGGGACATTGTCTTCTGGGCAGTCCCCTCTGAGATCCTTTCATGCTAGGGGCTGGCTCTGTTCCTGGCCAGTGTCTTTGACTCTAAGGCCATTTGTTTCCAGTTCAGTAAACTCCAAGGGGTGCATAGAATGGATAGGAGGAGGGCTCTGAACGAGAGGGCTGGGGGATGAAAAGAGTGGGTCAAACCGTGCAGCATTTAGTGAGCACCTTCTTTGTGTTGGCTGCTGAGGCCGAAGGGGGTATTGCAAAGATAGACAAATGCCATCTTCCCCACAGGAACTCTCAGTACCCTTAACTAGAAGCGATGCTGAGCTAGGAAGATCAATGAACTCTTAAGAGAACAGAAAACAAGGTTGGACACCCAGAAGAGGATTTGCAATTGACTTCTAAATAGTTAACTAAGGAATCAGTCCCTCTCTACAGCAGGTACATCTGTTCTATCAAGTTACAGTGGTAGAACAGTACCAGTTATTTTAGCAATTATTTTAGCTACTATCAAGAGAAAATGTGTTATATTTGCTTGTTTTATGAGGTGGTTCAAGGTTATCCTTTCTCCTCTCTACTCTCTGTCCCCTACAACCCAAACCAGGCACCCAACTGGCTTGTCCCTGATGGCTGGCTGTGATTACTGTCCTAATTTGTCCTTTCTTCATCTGCTACAAACTGCCTCTTTTCTGTCCCTTCTGATAAAGCGGGAGCTCTGAGGGACTTCTGAAGCTGTTTTTGTACCATGCAGAAGTGTATTAACTGGCATTCCTGTGTATGTGTCTATAAAACCCCTCGTCTTCTCAGCGTGAGTTCACCTTCAGGAACGGCGTCATGTCGATGTGCAGCTTGCGCGTGTAAAATTCTTTTCTGTTTGAACATATCAGCTCTTTATTTATACAACTTTGAGGCTCTCCTGTCTTCTGAGCTGCTGCCTCCAAGGACTGCTGGGCTCCCTGTGAAGAGAAGCAGAAAGCCCAACTTTCATTGGAATGATATACAGTGCGGCAAGAGCTAGTCCAAATTCCCAAATATTTATAGAAAGCCATTTTTCATCTCTGCAACACTAATAGTAACACCTATTTTTACCATTTGAGACCCAGGGGACTCATATATGTGGGGAATAACCTGAGAATGGCTATTAATTCATACCTGGGGTCTGTGTAATGGAAAAGTGAGAAGAGTAGCCTTACTATGTGCCAGGGTTTTACATGATCTTATTTAATCTTCTCAATTGGTCTAGCAGACAAAAATTGTCTCATATTCCCATTTCACAGATGAGAATGTCAAGTCTTGGGAGGTTTAGCAATGTGCCAAACTCCCACATAGCTGGGAAATGATGGTGCTAGAATCACCTTTTTTATGCCATTCTTTAAGGAGATCCTTTTTAAAACCTATACTTAACACAGCTTCCATGGCATTTCCAGGGGGTACAGATGGATAACACACTGGGTTCTTAACTGAAAGGCTAGCAGTTTTAGTCAATCCACAGACACATCTGAAGAAAGACTTGGTGATCTACTTTGAAAACAGCCAGCCCTTGAAAATCCTACTGTTCTACTTGGTAACATGTAGGGTTACTGTGTGCCAGAATTGACTTAATGACAACTTTTTGATTTAAAAAAACGTAGCTTCTGTGAATGACTACCATCTCTGCCTTGCAGCAAATAAGACTATAGCATAACTCCTGTTTATCTTCAGGTCAGAAATGTACTTGGTGTGTTAGGAATAGTGAGTTGAATAAGTGTAGTAGAGTGGGAAGAAGGCTGCGTTAATAGAGGGGTCAGAATCCCTGGGAGCACTCCCATTTGATGGGCCACACTCTCTCCCAACACTACAATACACACAGTGTCAAGTTTCAAAGCACTACAAAGTCAGATCCGGAGATGTCCCCCAGCCATTCCCACACTGTGACTTTGGAGGTCTTTCCAAGATGCAAATTGGACCACATCACTCCTCTGTTTAAAGCCTTCAAAGGTCATTGCCCTCAAGAGGAAGGACAACCCACTGGGAAGGTTCACAAGGCTCTTCCCACCATACCTAAGCTGTCTCTCAGCCTAACTGAGCCATCCAACAACTATTTATTGAGTTCTCTACAGGCAGAGTGGCTAGAACTGTGCACCTATTGGATAACAATCTGTTTCCCCGACACTAGTGCATGTTCATTCTATTGAGAGGCAAGAGAGGTAAAGAAGGAAGCTGAACTCCAGCTATGTCTGAAGTGGTTGGTGAGACGGAGAAATAGAAAGGAGGGAGGGATAAGGAAGAGCCAGGATGTTGAAGCTGGAATTTTATACATTGTCCAGAAAGACTCCCTAAGAATGTTAACATTTGAGTAAAGCTCTGAAGAAGGTGAGAGAAGGTTCCATGCATCTTGTTGTGAGTGGTGTTTAGCTATGTGAGTTGTTGTCATTGTGTGCTGTTGAGTTGGAACTGACTTATAGCTGACCCTTCAGTGATTTTTCAAAGACAGTAAATCACATCCATCATTCTCCCAAGGAGCAGCTGGTGGTTTCAAACCAAATGCCTTTGGGATTGCAGCACAGCTTCTTACCACCTGGCCACTAGTGCTCCCTAACTATGTGAGTAGTAAGTGTAAAGGGCCACCATTGACTTTCAATATCAGGGACAAGACCCTTCCCTTTGCTGGGAACATGTTTACTGTTTCTCGTTGCCTTCTAATTCTACCCTGGTTCGTCTGTGTCTTCATGACCTCTCAGAGCACAGAGCATTTCCTGTCATTGCCCATAATGATTGGCCGTCTTTCCTCCATGTTGGACTATAAGCTCCATGAGGACAGAAACCATGGTTGTCCTGTTCCCCTTGCATCACTCACAGCCTGGTAGGGTCTGGAAATTCATATCTCTCTCTTTTGCCTCTCACCTCTCGCCTCTCTCTCTCTTTTCTCTCTCCCCTCTCCTGTCTTCTCTCTATCTCTCTCTCTCTCATTGCTGTCAAATCAGAACCGACTCATAGCTGACCTGCTAGTGTTTTTTAGAGGCTGTAAATCATAGGAGAGGTGACTGTCTACCTTTCTGCTTTGGAACAGCTGGTGAATTAGAATTGAGAATTTTGGATTGTCAGTGCAGCTTTCTATCCACTAGGTTACCATAGCTCATATGCATATTGCAATTGAAACATACCTGTTCAACAAAAGAGCAAAAAACCACACAAGTGAATGACACTAGGACCAAGCTATACTATGGGCTCCAACAGTAAAGAAGAAGGGACCAATGAACTATCTTTACCAGAGGTGTGTGTTGCCCTCTAGAGTCTGTTCTTAGCACTGCACAGACTCCATACAACTGCAGTGGAATTGACTCACAGCTGACCCACTACTGGTTTTCTGAGGCTGTAAATCTCCTTGGAGGAGATTGCACATCTGTCTCATGAGGAACCATTTGTAGATTTGAACTGCCAGAAAGGCTTGGCCTTTCAGCTAGCGGTGCAACTCCCTAACAGAGAGAAGCATTATTTTGGGGGCTAATTTGCTGGATTAATAGACATTACATTAGTTTGCCGTGAGATCACCATGGGTGTGGATTTGATCATTTCCATATTTTCTAGATTAAGTGCTGGACATTTGTCTCTCAGGATAGTAATACAATCTCTTTCCCAATACTGTTTATATTACTTTTAAACATCAATGATGAATTACAGCTAGTTGGTAGGTTCCCTCATTGTTCCAGTGAATACTCATCCCCTTTTTCTTTGTTTAGAATGTAGCCAGAGATAAAAATGATTTCTGGAAAACTGCATGTATGATTTTTTTTGTCATCTCAATCATATATTTGATTAGCTTCTCAGCGTGAAATGTTCCCGCTCAATTTCTAGATCAAATAAAAATGTTCTCAGTCCAAACTGAAATGAGTGTTTCAAGCTTTCTCTAAAACCACCCATGATGGACTAACCAAAAGCAGACAATGCTGACTTGAGAGAAATTTCTCCATTATTCCTAAGAAGAGATTTTTGCACTGGGCTTGAGGACAAAAGACAAAACCAAAACCAGTCCCAAGGGCTAGAATTGCTTCAACTCTTTACACACATAGGGCTCAGAGTGAAGAGCGAGGACTTGAGAGGTCTGAGAAAAGTTCTTCCAAATCACTTTTGATGAAGTAATTCTCTTGATAGTGTGGCTCATCTCCCTGACATTAAAAACCCATCAATTCTAGCTTGATAGAATGTTTCAGGAGAAGGTTTTATAGCTTCTGGGGTGTGAAATAATTGTTTTTGTCTAGTGTGTTCAAGTGTTGTAACACATATATGATAGTGAAAGGAGAAGAAGGGTTGGAGATGGGTGGAAATAAGAAATCATATATGTAAAAAGGATTCTGAAATGCAGTAATAAGAATAGAAAGAGAAAATCAAAATCAGAAAGAAAACCATGTGCTTGTTGAGAGGGTTTTCATTTCTTCAGCAGATTGCTATTTATTAAGTGCCTACTATGTGTAAGATAAACATGAGCATAAACATACCAGATGGTGATTTTAGTGATAAATCTATGAGGACAGTGAAATAATGACAGGCTGGAGAGTGGTGGTTGGAGGAGTGGGCGACTCCTTTGGGTGGTCAGGGATGACTTCTCTGAGGAGGTGACATGTGAGCTGAGAGATGGTGATTAAAAGGAGCCAGCCCAAGGATCTACCTTTAGTGCCTGTGTAATCGGTATCTCTGTTTGTATCTCAACTGATTATTCGAGGTGGAATCAGGCAGGGGTTCTTTGAAAAGGAAAGCAGAACTCCTTGTTTCTTTTTCCCAGCCTTTTTGCTCCATCTTTGATCCTATGTGAGGTATTCTGTTTGCTGAATGGCCAGGTGATCCTGTCAATGGCTGTTCCTGGGGTATGCTGAGAGCTGAGATAGAAAAAGAAACTGTAAACAGGAGTGGAGGTCTCTGAAGGTGTGGGAGAGAGGAGAAAACAACAGAAGGGAAGGAAAGTGGGCAGGGACAGGGAGCAAAGAAAGCAGAGAAGCTTGAGGTATCTTCGTCTCTTTTCTGTGCACGTCTTGGTGGGGTTTATGAAAGAGCTGATGCAAGTCAGAATATTTAGCCGAAATCCAAAATCCATTCCTCTACGTATATTGCACTGTTAAGTATTTTAATATTTTTATTATGTTCTACTCAGAACACCTTCTCATCCCTATATGAAACAATAAAGATTAATGAGTTAATTTGGTAAAGCTGATTAGAATTGCACAGAAGGAATTGCGAAAGCACTTGGCATTTAAAAAAGTTATCTGACATTTAAAAGGAGACGACTGTTAATGAATTCAAGAGCTAATCTTATACTCTGACAGGGTGAGCCGTGGAAAATCTGGGGTTATTATCTTGTTGTAAACATAATGAGATTCAATTGAAAGCCAACACAAAAGAGCTATGAGCTGTGTGTTCACACACACACACACATGCACACAGGATACAGCAAGACCTTAGGGAAATGTCTCATCTATTAAATAAAAGCCATTATTTTTCTTCCTCTTCAATTATATTGTTAAAGCTACAAACCTGGGGAGAAAATCTTTCCTCCAGTAATTGTGCCTTTTCAAGTTTTGTATTTTGTCACTGGTGTGGGTTGGCTCTACAACCTGATTGTTGGACTTTTCACCTTGGGGAACGGGGACAGGGTAGCAGTGACTCAATGGTGAAATTCTCTCCTTCCAGGTAGGTGACCAGGGTTCAATTCCAAGCTAAAGCACCTCAAGCACAGCCACCACCCATCTGTGAGTGGACACTTGTGGGTTGTAGTTGTGCAGGTTTCAGTGAGTTTATTGACTATTATGATTAAACTATATGTCACCTCAGCCTTCCTCCTCTATCCTCTACCACACATACAGCTATGCAGTTCTAATCCACCAGAAGAAAGATAGGCAATTTCCTCTGATGTTATTTACTGCCTCTGAAAACCTGCTGGAGGGTCAGCTATGAGTTGGTTCTGACTCAATGGCACACAACAACA